ATGGTTTTGGGGTTCAGACCTGGTTTTGGGGTTCAAGTTAAAGGTTCAGACCCGATTTAAGGGTTCAAACCCAGTTTAAGGGTTCAGACTTGGTTTAAGGGTTCAAATTAAAGGTTCAGACCTGGTTTAAAGTTCAGAACTAGTTTAGGGGTTTAAGTTAAAGTTTCAGACCCGGTTTAAGGGTTCAGACCCGGTTTCAGGGTTCAGACCCGGTTTTAGGGTTCAAGTTAAAAGTTCGGACCTGGTTTAAGGGTTCAAGTTAAAGGTTCAGACCTGGTTTGAGGGTTCGAGTTAAAAGGTTCAGACCTGGTTTGAGGGTTCACGTTAAAGGTTTAGGGTTCAGACCAGGTGTGAGGGTTCAAGGTACAAGGTCAGACCTGGTTTGAGGGTTCAAGCTGGCTCCATGACAAAGACCTCTGTGATGCTTAATACAATATTTTGTGCTTTAATTCTGCTGCATCGACTACGATTTTGACTCACTTGTACGTTACCTGAGTATTTCTATTTTCCTCTACGTTACATTTCAACTATAAATCAGTTAAAATTAAGCTCAGTACAGCCGTTTTTCGCTCTTTTACATCTTCTACTCTAAAACAACAAACAACACAGAACCCAAGCAGACAGCGAAAAACCTGCACACAGCCGAGAGACAGAAGTCAGAAACAAAGCAGAGTCGGCACACACACTCGGACAACGACACTCGGTTCATGCAGAGACCTTGGGCGGCATGTCGTCGTCCTGCCGCAACCAGGAGCTGCGGTCCAGCTTGTCGAGGGGGGGCGCCAGGCGGGACAGGGGCGGGGGAGGAGGGGTGTCGGAGGTGGGGTCGGAGTTCTGCCGGGGCATGGGAGGCCGGGAGGGGGAGGGCGACGCCGAGGAGGAGGAGGACACGCCGTGGGGGTCGTACAGGGACTGGGAGCCCGACAGGCCGTGACTCTTCACCTGCACCAGGTGGGCCATCTGGACGCACACAGACACACACACACAGGCACACGCACACGCAGGCGGGAAAACAGGCAAAGGTGGAGGAGGAAGAGCAGGGTCAGGATCTGGGCCGGCACAACGTGATCAGGATGCAAGTCCGGGGGGAGCGATGCAGGAGGGAGGTGATGACGGGGGGAGGGACGGGGTGAGAAGACATGCCTCAGGGTGCGTTCACACCAACCATGTTCATCAAACGGAGCTTTGTCACGGTGACATTTTCTCTAACGGCCCCGAAAACACAAGCGTCAAACGTCTTCCAGCAGGAGAAACACGAAGACAGTCCCTCCTGTCAGGCTCATAGGCAGCAGTTTGTTCACGTCTCACTAAGATCAACTCATGCTTTAGTCCGTACGATCGCCCAAAATCTGTAAATGCGTGCACTGGGGAAGTTAATTATTATCAATTGATGGCTGTTAGAAATTTAACCAATAAAAACTATATTAACCAGTAACGCAGAAGATAAGGCAGGTCAGAAAATGCCAGCTGTAGTACCCGGATGTTCCACTAGGTGGAGCCTGCTAGCATCAGGCCACCATGACCAACACTTTTGTGACGCTTAATGACCTCCAATAAGAGTTCTTTAGATCAGGGTGTACCAGGGCCCCACAAGCTACAAAAGATGAAGAAAACCTGTATTCTCCACATGCATATCAGGAGACTAGCTGCAGTACCTGGTTGTTCCACCAGGTGGAGCCTCTTACTGTTCAATACTGTAGTAATTAGAGCAGGTGGTCACTCAGGCGGGTGGCGGGTTAACATATATCTGGATACCACCACAACGACTAGGGGTGGGCGGACGAACATCCGGATCTCGAAAATGACCACCACACCGATCAAATATTCGGATATTCGGGTCCAGCTCTACTCTACATGTATGTCAAAAAATGCATCGCAGATTAGCTGCAGTACCTGGTTGTCCCACCAGGTGGCAAGCAGAGAGCATTATGGGGGTTTAGCTAGCACCAGGCCACCCTGACAGAGATTTCTGTGACACTTAACGACCTCCAACAAGAGTTCTTTACGTTCAAGACAATCAACTAGTGAGTCGAGTGACTGCAGCAGAGGAGGCGGCGTTTTCAGGTCTGCGCAGCTTTAAACGGGATAATTTTTGTTCTTCGTACACTACAAGTTGTTTCCACTGGAGACTGTGAAATCTATCACATGCTCACACTGTAAATATTTCAGTTACTTGTAATGCTTCCACCAGGACCTTGGATCATCTACCCTTGCTCTTCACCATTACCTTTTCGGTCTGTCTTCTACTTGTTAGCTGGGCACCAAAACACCACGTCAAACCCTACTTAATGCCATAAAACTGATTCAGACAAACGCTAAAACCTCCTTAGGAGGCACAAAAAACTCCTCTACGCAGGACAAATCCTGACAGAAGGCCTTGCTAAAGCCCTGCACCTCACACACTAATTAATGAGATCTAATCTGAATAACTGAACGGTGGAAGGACAACACACCACCACCAGCCCTCCTCCTTTATTCTGGTTTCGTGACATCAGTTGCATTTTCAGGCAAGAAAGTCCAACAACATCCAGAACTTTCAGCATCCAAAGTTCCACTGAATGTCTCTGAGTGTTTCTACCACCACTGGTTGGTAAGGTGTCCTGACAGCCTCATTCTGACAGCCCAAACCACATGACGTCCACCTCGTACTAAACTTTCCAATAAAAACCAAAATATGAACCATGTTTAAAACCTTCCCGTCCTCCCTCACGTCGCTGTGAACTCCCCTTCGGACCTAACGGTGTGATCGCACCCTGGGAGATCTGAGAACGTAAAGACGAAGGAAACCCACCTGCGGTTCGACGGAGCGGTGCATCGGCGGAGTCCGGGCCTGCTGGATGCCGCCGCTGCTGAAGGACTCGGATCGCGGCGGCAGCGACGGGTCCGAGATCCGGTTGGAGACTTTATGCTGCAACGCAGGAGAAGTCTGTCTGTTCATCTTATAATGCTCCTCCACCTGACAGACATCAGACCACAGTCACTCGGCATGCAGGGATTCACAGGGAGGCTGACAAAACATCTAAATACGGGATTATTAACCTGTAATTCAGAATCAGTACGATGGATTTCATTTGCTGGAGGAGTCGGATTCTACAGCAGCTGACGCAAAGCATTGAAACAGGACGCAATTAAGTTCATGTCTTGACTTTATTTCTACTCATCAGCGTTGCTTTATTTCTTTTTATATCCACATTTATACTTTTATTGGTTCTATTAGTTCTGTTTTTATTTCAAATTTTTCATTTATTTTTGTGTCTCTTCATTTAATTATGTATATTTACACCCACATTTTTTTAAAACTATATTCATATCTGTATTTTTATATTTGTTCAATATTTTCTACATTTATTTTGTTCATGTATTTCTGTTTATTTACTTTTTGTATTTAATTCTCTATTTCTTTGCTAAACTATTTCCACATTTATTGATTTATATGATTATTTCTGCCCAATTACTTTAATTTTATGTTAATTTATGTCCATATGTACACATTTATTTGTGTATTTCTACATTTATTGGTTCTATTATGTCAGTTTTTTCTGTATTTATATGTAATTTTTAATTTATTTGTCTTTCTTCATTTATTTATGTTTATTTATAGCCATATTTTTTACTCATATCTGTATTTTTATATTCATTTAGTACTTTCTACATTGATTTATTTTTGTATTTCTGTTTAAATAGATGTATTTATTTTGTTATTTCCATTTATTTCTTTTCTAAATAATTTCCACATTCATTGATTTATATGATTATTTCTATTTATTTTAATTTTATGTTAACTTATGTCCATATTTACACATTTATTTGTGTTCCTACATTTAACTATTTTATTATTTCTATACTCATTCATGTATTTCTAAATGGATTTTTTTTCTGTTTTACTACATTTATTTTTCTATTTATTTCTTTATTTCTAGACTTCCACTCTGATTCATTTCAACATTTACCTTTTTTTTTTTGTTATTTCTATATTCAGTCATTTTCATTATTTCTGCATGTGTCCATCTTCTACTGTTATTAATTTATATATTTTAAAAATATTTTAAAAACTATTTTTGCATCTATTTCTGTGTGTTTTGCCTCTAAATGATTATTTTCACCGCTTGTGTAAATAAATCGTCGACGCTGCTGGAAAGACGAGTTTTTAAAATCTCTTTTAATATAAGAATTAAATACTTCTTAGCTTTATTTTTCAGTCGGCGCCTGCGTTTGTTCCTAAACGGGTTCGTTTTGTTCTCGTGTGATGGAAACGTTTCCTCCTCTGAGGCCTTGGAGGGAATCCACAGGGCAGGCCTGATCTGCACACAGCGTCTGACGCCTGCAGGGAGGCCGGCTGTATATTTAGCTGCAGCTGGCCTACATCGCGGCGCCGGCGGCCACCAGGGGGCAGGACGACACAGCTGCCCTACATGAGGCGCACGGCACCGGCGGCGGCCCTGATCTACGCCTTACAGGGAGGTAGCAGGGTTCAGGGCCGGAGCTCTGACCTGCATTTTCTGCGTCTCGGTTAGAAAAAACACAAGCTGGTGTCATGTGGACGGTTTGAAACGTTAAAGAGGCAAATAGAAGAGAGACAGAAGAGGAGCTTTGACAGCCTGGAGCTGAGCAGAGACGAAGCCTGCAGGAGGAATTCTGACGTTAGCTGCTGGAGTTAGTACCTGTTAGACATAAACATGCAACCACAGAACTCAGCTTCATTCTGCAGCAGAGAGACAGAAGGACTGAAGGAAGAGATGAATCTGCAGCGAGTCACCTGCAAAATGGAAACTGTTGGTTAGAGCTGAGACATAGACGATTAGAAGATGTGGAGGAGAAGGAATGAATGCAGAACACCTGAAGTCCAACATCCTGAAGCTCTGAAACACCAAATATTTAATGTCAACCACCTGGTGCTTTTATTTCTACAACATTTACATTATTTTATTGTCTCTACATTTATTTATCCAGAATTTTTTATTTAATCATTTCCACAATTATTTCTTTATACAGTCATTTCTAAATTTATGAATTTATTTTTTTACTTTTATTATTTTTCCACAATTTAAATTTATTTAAAAAAACAATTATTTTTGTATTTCTGCATTTATTTACTTCATTGTCTTTACGTGTATTTCTGTAATTCCATATTTTATTGTTTCTACAACTATTTCTCTATTTCTTTTATTTTACTATTTCAAAGTATATCCATTTATATCACATGTCTATTTCTGTTACCGTTATCCATTTACCTATTATTTTCTAATTTATTTCTGTTTACCTACATTTTTTTAAAAGTTATTTTATTGTATTTTTAAATATTAATTTCTGTATTTCTACATGTATTTATTTTTGTATAACTACGTTGTTTTATTGTTTTTTGTGACTATTTCTGTTTATTTATTACATTATTTGTAATGTTTATTTCAATCGTTCCACATTTATTTATTTTATTGTTTCTAAACGTCAGAATTTCTACCATTTATTTATTTATTTTCTATTTTTATACTCTTTTTTTTCCTCTATGGGTTTTCTACAGTTTACATGATTAGTTCAATGTATATTTAATTCTGTATTTTAACACTTAAATAACATAAATTTCATTATTGCACACATTACGTCTGTTTTCCACATAGTTCTGGACAGTTTTAACTGATGTAAAAATACTAAACAGAAGCTCAGTCTGGGTTTGAGATCACTAGCAGTGAGTTTAAATAAAGTTTCTATGGTTTTATTTTAACTTCCTGTGCAGCCACGATGACAGACAGTATGTTAAACTGTCAAAGGCAGAGAAAAAGAAGAAATGCGTGATTAAAGATTTTAAAATAAACTTTGCAAATGTTCTATTAGGGAAGAAAGTGATGCAGCATTTTTGCTTCGACCTCAAAGATCCGTTTGATGTCAACAAACCATCTCATGAGGTCTGAGGGACACGTCCTCGCCTCCTGCTGCTGGTTCTGTTCTTATATCTGCTGTGGGGAGAGTTCGGCTCAGTGTTGGAGTGAAAGAGGTTGAAAGCAAAGAGAAAACTAACGAGGAAACCCGGAGAGAAGACGGTTAGAACCGGCCCGCAGCCAGAGGAGGTGAGTTCACCTGGTTAGAGGAACCAAGCGGTTAATTAAAGGGTTAATGGTTCGGTTCCGCCCGGCCTCCCACTGACCCGGCGTCCGGGGCTGCGGCCCCTCGAGTCGGGGCTCCGGCCGGGGCTCCGGTGGCGCCCCACAGCCCGGGACGAGCCGGGCTCTGGGACGCAGGTGACCCGGATTCTGGGCACGTGGAGGTGGTCCCTGGACGGGCTGACGTGGGCCGGGTAGGACGGGGGGCGGGGCCGGCGGGGCTTGTAGCCGGGCAGCAGCAGCAGGTTGTCCAGCTGGTGCACGTCCCGAGTCTCCCTGAAGGAGTGGTACTTCTTAGGAGGCACGCGAGGAGAGTTGCTCTGAGCTCGACGCATCACCTGGAGGACAGGTGAGTGTTTAGAGGGGCGGCCAGAGAAACACCTGGAGGGCCGGCGCCTCCTCCGGCAGCCATGTTGGACGATCAGTTGACATTAAAAACAGGATTCCTGGAAGAAAAACTCATCAAACCAACAGAGTCGCTGATCACAGCAGCAGCAGGGAAACAAACGAAGAGCTTCATTCCTAAATGCCCAGTTTCACCTTCAACAGGAAGGAGTCATCGTCCTGTCACGTGACGAACAAACAAATCGCCAAATGAATGCCGTTTGTCACAGCTAGGAAATGCAACAACAGAGAAAAATGCTGCATTTTCTGCTTTCCAGCTGTTCTTGAACAACTCATCCCTGATGTTGTCCGGAAAATGAACCAAACTAAGGGTTAAAATCACTTTAATATACGTCTCATTTTAAAAATCACCAAAAATAAACCGTGTGCACTAAAAAGATTCTATAAAAATCAAATAATTCTGCACTTGTTGGTGCAACCGTGAAGCCATCAGTGACTCAGCTGTGAGCAACAGTCAGGTGATGAAAATTCTGTGAATTTTCAGTTGAACTGCAGGCAGTGTTCCAGCACAAGCATGGAAACTAATTAAAAGTCAGAACGTGTGGTGTGTAGAGCTCACTTGTTGTTAACATCTATGTTGGAAAAACACTGCACATGTGATCACACTTTTTTTTCCTGAATTTTTGCAAGACTACTTTTTTTTTTTTCACGATTCAGGACTTCTGATTGCATTTAAAAATGAACAAAGGGCGACAAAAACCTGCACGTTTGGAACAAAACTCTTCGTTTGCCAGAAGCTGGATTTAACAGACGCTTGTTCTGATGTTTCACCTGCAATAAAGAACAGAATCGGAGGACGGTCACTTGTGGGTTAGTCGGGACTCTCCTGCAGACTCGGCAGCTCAGACGACACCTGGAGGGCAGAACCCTGAACAAACACCGAGTCGACCTGAATGGAAACGGCTGCTCGTGGTTCTGAGGTCCGGTTCACACACGTACACCTGCCTTCAGTCTGTGTTCAGAACCGTCCACCTGAGAGTGTTTGGATGTCAGCAGCGTCTGAACTGTGGGTGTATCGGCGCCGCTACACAACAAACAATCACATCTGTCCTCTGAAAATCTGGAAACAGGCCAATAGGTGGATGTTCTTATCATAAAACTGCACTTTGTCATCTGTTTGTAAGAGAACGAAAAGATCATCTGAACATCTGTGTTCTTTGTCTTTTGACAACTTTGGCTGAATGTTGGTTTAAATAATGCAGATCAAGTTAACTTGTGTCCATAACTGAGCAGGAAATCTGGATTATTTCAATCTGTTTCCACAAAGGAGGGAAAACAAACCAGTGACTGGATGCTTTTAAACATGCGCTACACTTTTCTACTTGTTGGATTTATACTTATGTTAATGTTTCTGTTCAGGAAGGAGAAAGCAGAACCGCCGTGTTTGTGTGTCTGTCTTGGTTTAGTTTAATGTTTGTGGTACATTTCCTAAACGTTTGCACCTTTGCTGCTGCTGCACTGCAGCTTTCCTCACTGTGGGATTAACAAAGGACACTTCATCCTCATTCTCTCTTAGAACTTACTAATATTCATCTTTTTATGCTCCATAGTTTTATTTTTTTTCTTCTCTGTGACGTATTTTGTGCATTTCGTGCAGCACAGTGACGTCATTTCAGTTTAATTAAAGAAAACTGTCTTCTAAGTCCAAAGCCTGAGCTGGACCGGGTCTATCTGTTTGGAGGATGTTCTCACTCGTTTTCTAAATCATCAGGACTTTGGACGCCTGCAGCCAGCAGCACGTCTGAACAACACGCCGTCGTTTCCTGCAAATCAAAGCGAGTGGCGGCGTGGCGGCCGGTCGTTACCTCTTTGGCCCAGGCCGGCTTGTCGTTGCTGCCCGGCGCCTGGTCCTTGTAGTGGTAGAGCTGCTTCTTGTCGGCCGGCGGCCGCGGCGCCTCCTGCTGCTGCTGCTGCAGCGACACCAGGTACGCTCGCTCCTGCTGCAGCTGCCTCTGCAGCCGCTCGGCCTGCCGCTGCTCCTCGATCTGCTTCCTCTTGTACTCCTGGACAGGAAACACGCAGCAGAGACGCTCGGATGAGACCAAAGCAACGAGAACGTCTGAAATGTCGGCAGCAAATGTTAGAAACAGGACAGCTGGACACGTTAGAGACGTAAAGACTGAGAAGAAGGATGTGTAGCACCAAGACTGGTGGTTCAGTCAAGACTTAAAGAGAAGATCAGAAGGTGTGAAGGAGAAAGTGAGCAGAGCCAGTACCTCCAAAACACCTGAAGTAAAACATTCTGAACGTCTGAAAACTAAATGATTTAAAGTCAGCCGTGTTGTGTAATTCATTTTTTAATATTTATTTATTCCTGTATTTCCAGATTATTTATTTAATCTCTTCACCAGACGTTGCTTCTACATTTATCAATTTATTTATTTAATCATTTCTACATTTATTCATTTCCATATTTCTACAAACATTATTTATTTACGTTATTATTTCTAGATTTTTCTATATTTACTTACTTCAATCTTGTCACCAGTTATTTTTGTATTAACAATTAATTAATTTACATCATCATTTTATTAATTCGTTTATTTTTTAAAGTAATATTTCTACATTTTTGATTCATGTTAATATTTCTGTCTTCATTTATTTCTGTATTTCTACACACAGCTATTTTTGCATTTCTATTTTTTTCTATATTTATTTCCACATTCCTACTTTTTAAACTAATCCTATTATTTCTATCTATATTTCTCCTTTAATTCACTTTTTATATTTCAAAATGCATTTGTTTATTTGATTATTTCTATCTATATTTATTTCTGTGTTTCTATCCATCTATATTTTCTTTTCTATCTTTATTTCCACATTTCTACATTATTAACTATTTTCATTATTTCTACATGTATTCATTTTTTCTGTATTTCTAAATTAATTTATTCATTTTATTAATGCCTTGGTTGTTTATGTATTTTTGCATTCATTTACATTTTTTAAATTTCCTTTAATATTTCTGTATTTTTACATTTATTCATATTTTTGTATTCCTAAACGTACTTATTCATGTTATTATTTCTATCTATATTTCTATCTGTATTTTTTTTGTTTTATTATTTTCTTGATTATTTCTGTATTTTTATATTTATTTATTTTTTATTAACTTTTTTCTGTATTTTTACATTTTTTTCATTTCCTTTATTATTTCCATCTGTTTACATTTATTCATGTTTTTGTATTTCTAAATGTTTTGAATCATCTGTTTCAGTATTTTTCATTACTTTATCTTTTATTTCCTGTATTATTTCTGTCTTTCTACATGTGTTTACGTCCTTATTTTCCTTCACTCTGTCTGTGTTCCTGCATGTGTTCTGAGCTCATCTTGTACTTTCGACCGTTTCCAGACGGATCTGCGGTAAAAGGCGACCTGAGGCGTTTTGTTTTGGGGCCTCTGGAGGTTTCTGGGTCTTCGGGGACGTTTGCTGCTTTGCTTGTTTTGTAATCCGGCGTTACACGATGTCCTGCAGAAGCACCGTCTGAGTGCTGGAACTAGATTTAGCCTTAAAGCCAACATGAACAGGGTTGTGAAGGAAGCATGAGTCTGGCAGATCCCTGGACTGCAGCTCCTCACCTCCCAACGTCTTCTGAGGTTCATCCCGACACCTGCTTACATAATAATCTATATTTACCGACATACAGCAGCCGCGCTTAAAGATTAAAGCGACACACTTCACTTGGCTTTAGCTGCTGCTTCACGCAAAAAAACCTCAGAAACAGGAAATTAGGAAACGCTCCATCGTTAGAGACTGAGATGAAAGTGGACTGACGAGATGTGAACGATTTATGTGACAACAGAATAAAATCACTTTCACAAAAACAGGATTATATCGTATGAAATAACTTCAGATTATAATGTTTTATATTTCATCATATTAGTTTACATCATATTTTATTTTACATTAAATTACAATATAGATGAGATTATTTATTATATTTGTGATATAATACATTATAGCATCGTACAATATATGAGAATATATTCGTTTTTAAGATGCTATTATACATGTCATACTAAATTATATTGTTTAATTAGACATTCTAATATTTTATTATATTACTATTATGTTATACTATAGTACAATGCATTCTATAACATTAATTTACATTATTTTATATTTATTTTACATATATTATATTATTGAAACCAGAAGTGCATAAAAAGACATAAAACCTCTTTTTTCCTCTCACTGTCTCTCATTAAATCAGACTAAACTTTTCCTGTTTTAGGTCAGTTATGACTACTAAAATTATTTCTATTTGCTAAATGTCAGAATAACAAGAGAGAGAATTTTTTTGCGAATTTTTTTTATTACTTTCTTTAAAGTCAGAAAAAAGAAAGATGAAAAAATTCCCTAAAAACTGTCAATTACTTGATATTATATTATTAGAGACAACAACCATGTCTTACATGACATACCATATTAATTTATATTACATTATATTACATTCTACTGTATAATCATACAGTTTGTTTTCATACAGTTGTTTACATCCAGAGTTATTTGTTGTTTTCGTTGTGTAACTAACCTGCTGACAACAGATCTGTTTGTTTGTTTGTTTGTTTGTTTGTTTGTGGATGAAGCTGATCGGTTTCCTGTCAGCTCCGATGACGACATCATCACGAGCTAAACGAGGCGTCGTTTCAGGGCGGGAAGCCATTGACCGACACGCCTGCTGCCGCTACGATGGCGATCGATTTGTTAACTTTATTTTCTGGAGTAAAAAAATAAAAGCGGACCTGATGTGTGCGTCTGTCTCGGCTCGGTATTGATCAGGAATCAACCGGCGCCTTCACGCGCCGCGATATCTGCGAGTGAACGATGAACCGGCCGACGTAATAACGCTGGACACACAAGTCTGGATTTAACGTTCATCTGAATCTCTTGTTATAGCAACACATCCTAAAATCAGTGATATACTAATATTTAATCTTCCAACGCAGTTTGAGTCGTTCAACATCTACTGGGTCATAGATAAAACACATATTACACACAGGTCCTGTAGGTTAGCTGCAGTACCTAGATGTACCACCAGTGACCAGAGGAGGTGGTCGGGTTCATGTCTAGCCAGTAAAGGGGCACCGTGACAAAGACATCTGGCCAGAACATGGGTTAAATCAAGCTCGATCAACTGGGACGGGGTTTCTAATCTCCAGCGGCATCAGTAACGGCCACTTTCACCGATAACGCTGCATTTATTCAGAAAATTACTCAAATCTACAACACCTGTGGGTACTTAGAGCTAGGGAAGTCCAGAATCGGTGTTTTTACCCCAGATCCATTCAGAGTCATTAATATTTAGTATCTACCAAGTCCCAATCCGACACCATTTTTCTAGATAATACATTTCAAGTGTTGTAGATTAGCTGTAGTACCAGGCTGCGCCACCAGGTGGAGTAGCATATGCTTCCAAGTGTCCGAGACAAATGCCCACATGCTTAGTTCATGTTTTAAACTAGTCATATTAATTTCTAATACTGCGTTTATTAAGAAAACTTAGCACATTTACGACACCTTTGAGAAGTGTTATAATGTGTTGCACCTTAATTTTTGTTAACAGGTCTGTTCTCTGTGGGTTCTCAGTTACAAAAATACTTCCAGCTAGGGGATGTCGAGAATCAGTGTTTTTACCCCAGATCCATTAAGAGTCATTAATATTTAGTATCTACCAAGTCCCAATCTGACACCATTTTTCTAGATAAAGCATAATTTAAGTATTGTAGATTAGCTGTAGTACCAGGTTGCGCCACCAGGTGGAGCAACAGCTAATATTGGGGCTTGTGTTTCACCCTGTTGCTGATATAAGCCAGACATCAACCGAGTGTTTCCCTTTTCAAAATCCCGTCTCCACTACGGCCCTGTTTTCACGTAGAAGTGATATTTCAGTGGGTCTTTGCTTTACACGTAAGCGAAGCTACGAGTCACCGAAAACGATCACATCTGAAAACTCCGGCCAAAGTGGAGAGTTGGAAAAACTCCGTCTTTACGTCGTAGACAGGAGGAGACGGAGTCTGACGTGACAGTATGCGACAAAAGCGTCATCAGCGTCACGTGTGTGTAATTCGTTGTTGCCTTTTTTTCCAGGATTCTGATTGGCTAGCATGGCTTTATGCTCCTCGTTACGCTGCCCTCTACAGGTCTGGCAGCTCATAGCAACTCTTAACAACGTGTTTGTGTAGATTTTTTTGAAAACGATCTGGTCGTCGATCCGTTTTTGTGAATATCGGCTTTGTGTAAACGCGGCCTAAGGCAAACGACGACGCTAGCAACGTACCACACTGGACATATAAAGACTCTCCGATGATTTGGGTTGTGCAGTACAGCGGCCCTACTCGTATATTTTAGTGGATTTGTTGCAAATCATCCACCAAAACCTCCACCTGAATCGACTGTAGTTGGTTTAAAGAAATACAAACAAACCACTTGAACAGCAGAACGATACCGACGTGTTCTCCAGAATGGGCTGTCCACGGGAGATGAATCAGTTATTGATAATGCTGCATTTATAAATAAAGTTATTCAAATGGACGGGGCTCGGCTTGGTGCTGATACGTCATCCTGAGAAGTTTTAAAGCAGCGGCTCATTACTTTTATTCAAAATTTCCATTTTTCGTGCAGTCTGAAGCGACGCACCACAGCGAGTCCCTTCGTTACTTCAAGGTTGTGACGAGCGTCGAGCGAGCGTCGGGATTAACGAGTCGAGCCGGCGTCAGAGAGCAAACAGGATTACTGGTGTGTTTGTGGTGTGGTGTTACCAGCAGTAAGGCCTGCTCCTGCAGGAGCTGCTGCTGCAGGATCTCCAGCTGCCTCTGCTCCTCCTCCAGCTGTCTACGGATATACTCCTAACCAATCAGCGGCCGGGACAGCACCGTGCGCAGCCAATCAGAGAGCAGCCAGGCAGGGGGGGGCGGCGAATGGGAGCCCAGGCAACCAGTGACATCAGCAGAGCAGGAAATAGAAGAAAAAGGGAAAGAAAAGAGGAGGAGGACAGACAAAAGTAGGAGATTTATTGAAGAGGTGTGAAAGAAGGGATTTAGTCAGAAATAGCCGAGGACAGATAAAACGAGGAGCAGCGGGGGGCCGTAATTAGTGCAACACAGAGACGGCTTATTACTGAGGTGCTGATGTTAGAGATCAGCAGGAAATCTGAAGGAGAGACTTAAATGTGAAGAGGAGAGAGGTGAGGCAGCGCCGCACTGCAGGACAAGTCTGCAAAGCCTCTTGTGTCGTACTGAGATGCTGAACTGCGACTCGACGCACCTCAGAGTCAACGCACTTTAATCCTCTGAACTCCAAAACCAAAGCAGCGGGTGCAAAAGGGGTGCTATCGTTTAAAAAAAAAAAAACCACCAAAATAAACACTGTTTACCCAAAAACAGAAAGAAACGTCTGAGTTTTAACTCTCTAGCTGATCACGAGCGACTAATGTAGAAAATTCTGCTCAGTCGGGAAAATTTACCAAATATAAGTTTGAAATAGCCGCATGAGCACAAGGCAGCTGCCTGGCATTCAATAACTCTGCATTTACGACACCTGTGCATAGAAATATAACGTGCAGTTCCTTCAGTGTTGTTACCAGCAAGCTGAGAGCATTGTGGGGTTTCAGCTACTAAAGTGGCGCCATGACAAAGACTTCTGGGACGATCAACAACATCAGGCCAGTGCACATCTGTTAAATCACACCAGGATCAAATAATATTCTAAATTCCAGGCGCACATGTTTGTAGAGCGCTTTGTGGAGGTTTAGCTGGTGAAGAAGTCTGTGATGTTTAATGACCTCTGAAGTGCAAATGTTTTCAATCAAGCTGGGCCCAGCTGAGATTATATTTTTCTGGCACCCTTGCTGACATTTTTGATGTTTTATTTTAGTTTTTAGATTTGTGCCTGAGTTTTGCAGGACTTCATTCTGCAGTGACAGATGGAAAAAAACGTCCAGTTTAGAGTTCAGAGGATTAAAACCACCGTCCATCTGTGTTCTCTGCAGCGTCTCATTCCGTTGGTTCTAAACAGACTCAACAGGCTGCGGAGGTGAGCTCCTGATGAGCCGTGAGGCCCCGCCCCCCTGGATGACACCTGCTGCCCAGGTGCGTCTCACCTGCTCTCTCTCGGCGTGCCTCCGCTCCTCCTCCCGCCGGAGCTGCTCCATCTCCTCGTACCTCCTCCTCTGCTCGCGCTCCTGCTGCTTCCTCATCTCTCGTTCGCGACGCTGTTGCTGTGGGCGGAAACACCAGAGTGTGTGTGTTTGTGCACGTCAGGTGTGTCTGGCTGGCATTTGCGTGAGCTGAGGTGAGAAACGATACAGGTGTGGCGACGAGCGGCTTCATGATCGAACCTGAGATGTTAAAAACAACTGCAGGGCGCGTTCGTGTCACACGCTGTCACTGAGGACGGGGATTACCTCCTCCAGCCGCCGCCGCTGCTCCTTCTGCTCCTCGATGCGCTTCTGCCGCTCGGCCAGCAGTTGGCGCTTGTGCTCCTCGTTCTGCTGCTGCTCCAGCTGCTGACGCCGGATCAGCTCCGAGCGCTCTTTGTTGGCCAGCTGGAGGCGCAGGAAGTCCCGCCTCAGGGTGGACTCGCCGGGGATGTTGATGATGGAGCTGCAGGGCGGCCAATCAGAGGAGAGAGTTAAATGTCAGACATGTGTTGCTGTTTTATCTGAAGGCGTCTGAAGGCGTCTGAAGGCGTCTGAAGGCGTCGGCTTCACGCCTGAATACAGCTAAAAGTCACTCATAGATCCTCGTTAATCCTGTCTCCATGTCGGGGCTCATTTGAGGGGTATTTAATGAACTCAGAGGAAAGACTTCTAAACAAGCAACACACAGAACCTGAGCTGCTGTTGGCTTCATGCCGTCTGTAGCCCCTTTCAGACAGTTTTGTTCATCTGGTGACGTCTGAAAATGTCATCGTCCTGTCTGAATGAGAGCTCTGCCCACTTTTACAGAACAGAACTAAGAGGAAAGACTCCTACAAACAACCGGAAGCAACAAACTAGTTAACAACAAACCAGTTAAACTGTTAGTATTGTGGTGGAATAGGCCTTTAAAACTTTGAATATTTGGACAGGAAGTAGTATTTTGGGTGAAATAACACTTTAAAACTTTAAACATTTGGACTGAAAGTAGTATTTTGGATGGAATAAACCTTCAAAACTATAAATATTTGGAGAAAAAGTAGTATTGTAGTGGAAAAACGCTTTAAAACCATACATATTTGGACAGAAAATAGTATTTTGGGTTGATTAAACCTTCAAAACTAGAAATATTTGGACAGGAAGTAGTATTTTTGGTGGAACAAACCATTGGATTTGGCAAGTGGTGCACAAAAAACAAAACAAGAGTCCTTAAAATTTGGTCCCATAACTTGCAGGTCTGAAACCAAGTCGGGAGCAACCAGGACAGGGTTCCTTTGTCCCTTTAACAAATGTCCAGTGCGCTCTATTTTTGATATAATTAACCAGTCGTTGACTGACAACGTTGGCCGATAGAACCTGAGCGACACCAGCTGTAGATGAAGGATCAGAGTTTGGTTCCTGCCAACACCAACCAATCACATCCCAACATGGTGCTCCAACCAGGACTGAACATAGGACAAATATCAGACCTGGACTTGCTGTGTGAGGAACGTTAAATGGGACATATCAGCTTTGTAACTATTGTACTTTAGCTAATAAGGATTTCATGCTGTAAGTGTTTGGAGGAAAGACTCCTAAACTACCAGAAGCACCAAACTAAACTGCAGCTCCTGCTACAATCTCGTCCATCTCATATCCAAAGTCATCACCTGGGCTCTCCGATGTCCCTCTCCTCGTCCTCCTCCTCGCTGCCGCTGTACTCGTACTCGGTCTCATCTGAGGGGAACAAACACAGGGTTCAGATGAGCTCATTCCTTCATGTTGGATCCGAGGCGAGTCATTGGCGGAGCGTCCTCACCCCTCTCGCCTCTCCTCTTCTTGGTCCGGTCGATGTGGTCCTTCAGCTGGATGCGGACCTGCCGCTCGTTGGGCAGGTCTCTGATGAAGGGGTGCTTGAGGAGCTGCTCGGTGCTCGGCCGCTGGCTGTGGCTCTTCACCAGGCAGCTCTCGATGAACGACTGGAACTTCTTCGACCTGGAGACACAAACGCACCGCTTGTGGATGTTAGTGATGCATTCAGGATCTTACGCCATAATTGTCGGCGCCTAACTCGTCCCGCAGCTTTAACAAGACCCATATAAATGATCAAAACGTGTGGCCCAACCAGAAATGGTGTGCCACGTCTTGTCTTAGTGATTCGTCATATGGAGTTTACGAAATTTGCAAAAAAGCGTGCTACAAATCCCCATTGAAATGAATGGAAGTCGGCCAGACGGCTGCCAACAGCAGCCATCTTTGGAAGCCTGTAGCTCCGGCAGACTTTACAGTCAAAGCTTCATTCAAAGTTTAAACGGTCAACAAGCCTTTAAATGTTATTCCTCTAAATCGGTGTGTCGATATCTTTTACGACTTTTACACATTTGCAGTTTAAAGTGTTATGAATTTTTTCTTCATCTACTCCAAATTTTGACCAAATATATTGTTAAAAAAACTGTCGTCAATCTTGTCTCCTTCTTATAATTTCTCCTCTACATGAACAATTTACACATCAAACTGTAGGTACTGTTGTCCTCTTCCACCCAGCGTGAGTCTCATCGCTGTAGGATTTATGGTTTTTTCATAAATCACCTCAGAGCTCAGAGAGTGTCGACCAAAACTCTCACTGACTCCCATTATAGCTCCAAAACTTTGAGAAACGGTGAGTCTCTTTAACCAGCCACCAAATCTGCATAAAACACAGTATGGACATGAGAACACATCAGCGTGTTGGGAACAAGATGTGCTTCACACGCTGAAAGAATTGTTTTGATAGGACGGATAGTTTTTGAGCTGTGACCGTTTATGCGAGGAGATAACTCTCAGTCTGCTCTGCTCACTGAAAGCAGCCGGTGCCTCACAGCTGATTGGCTGATGGACACGCTTTCAAAATAAAAGCTGGAGACGACGGTTCGAGGTGTTAATTAAACCACATCTGCAGCTGTTGTGTTGTTTGTTTGTTGCGGGTTAGATGGTGTGTGTGACTCACCACTTCTTGGATTTGAGCCTCGGCGCAGGATTCCTGGGGATGAGGAAGAGCGCCCTCATCGGATGCATGTCGCACAGAGCTGAGGAGGAGACGAAGGAGAGGAGACGAGAAAGGACAGGCAAGGAAACAGAGGAAAGGAAACAAAACCAGACAAAGAAAGGGGAAAAACAAGGAAAGGTAAAAGAAAAGAAAGGGAAGGAA